TCTTCTTCTTCTTCTTCTTCTTCTTCTCCTCAGATACTGCCTTGCTGATTGCATAGTCCGCCGACATGTTTGCGAAAACGGAAGTATCCGCAACGATCTTCGGCAGTCCATTGCAGGTCGAAAGTTTAGGGACCGCACAGACTATGGCCGCAAGGTGTGGTAAATGTGATCGTTGACAGGATCGTTGCGGTTCGCGTATAGTCAAGATCGCGAAGCCCTTCGCCTGAGAATGATCCTCGAATCCGACTTTGTGTCCACCACGTGCTTCAGCAAGCGCAGTGCCTCGCGCATGAGTTAGTTTTTCAGTGATGATAGGCTTGCGTTGCATCTACGGCACTCTCTCCTCTCTTACCCGTCCGTGCTCGGTGTCATAGCAGATTTAAGAAGATTGTTTTTCTTAAGGACTAGGTATACTCGAACAGCACGCGAACTTGAAAATAACTGCTTAAAAGCAGGCGCTGACTGAATTTTACATTTGAAAATCGCTATGAAGGAACGTGCACGAATAGACCAGGTGGTCATTTGCGCGGTTTATTTAGCACCACTCTAATCCGCCTCTTACCACGAGATAGTAGCCCCCTCACCTACTTGGTCATTGGACTCAACGTCCTGCTGACTGCGTTCCCAGACTACTTGGATGTAACTTCCAGCTAACTGACCTGATTGAAGGACAAAAATTCTCATCATTGTGGGGAGGGGAGAGGTAATCAATAAGTGCTCCTCTTCGCGGACTCTTAACAAGGTGAGATCCGTCCCCCTAGTGAATAGGATATGTGGCCGTCCCCCTTTTCAAGACGCAAAAAATTGCTTTAACGTCAGCGTCATGGTTTGTTTCTACCAGCACGATCAGGACCTTTGAGGCTGAAGTTTTGGCTCTGACGGCACCACAGAGGAAAAATAAAAATCTGGATTGTTCCAACAACCTCCTCACACACCAAATACTAATTTATCGGTCGCTGTACTTTGAGACGCAACGCGAGGTATTTCAGGCCCCGAAGTCTAACTTGCGCTTTTTCGATTTGAATAGGGGGACTTAGAAGTGCCAGGAAGAAAGCTACGGGCGACGAAAAACATCTCACTGACGGGCTGGGGGATTTGTGTATTTCGTTTTCATTCCGTGAGGTGACAGTTCGAGTATCAATACCGACGCTGTCCACAAACCAGTGACTACAGAGACGGCGAGTTGCGCGTGGATTAATTTGTTAGTGACAGTAGACTTGCGCTACATCTACTGCACTATCTCTCTCTCTCTCCCCTCACCCACTTGGATCTAGTGTCAGTGAGCCAGAGTCAAGAAGGCCGGAGGCGCGATCGGGTGTGGGGTGGTTGACTGAGCTAAACATTCTATCTCTGAATGCCACACACACACCTGGTCCGCGTAGCAGGTCTGAAGAAAGGTGTCGGTCGGATCCGATCTGAGTCGGAGTGCCGTGGTGTAAGACGGGCTTAACATCACCACTTCTGTCATGCACCTATTCGCCTAAACTATGGCCTCGTAAAGGCGAACGAGACGCTCTGTCCTGCTGGTAGTTAACCCGAGAATCACACATGCGCAGTCCTGTCCTCAGAAGCAACCACTCCACCCTCCTCCAGCTTGTTTGCTCTCAACCTCGCCGGCAGCAGTGTTTACTGATTATTTTTATTTAATATACTGCGAGCACGACAATCAGATCTCAGTTCCGAAGCAGTCAGTGGTGTCAGGGTCAGTTGTCAATTTCCTGCATTTGGTTCGCGTTTTTGGCTCCTGAAGCACGGGTCACGTGATGCGTGCGCTGGACCAACACCGAAACCGGATCACGACATGAAGTTATTGGGGGCTGCGCGCTCATAACAAGTGGCACCAAGGGGGGTAGGGGCGTGTTGGTACGTATAGGCGCGAACTTAACCCCCCGCTGACCACCTGCGCCCAATACCTCCCCCGGTTTATGCGGGTGAGGGGGGAACAGAGAGTGGTAGAGGCTCTGTAAGTCTAATAAACTAATTCACACGCGCACCACGGTGTTCGCGACCGTCCTGTCATGGGGCCTTCGGTGGACCATGTCGTTAAAAACGATGAAGCTGTCGTTTGGATCTATTTTCTGGGTCTTTGATAAATTTAAAAACAACTTTATGTGACTATTTCATGAAGTGTACATTCGGCAAATTTTAGTTTACTTTTGAAAGCATAAGTTTGTAAAAATCCCCACCTGAGAAGACTTTCGGTCTGACTGTGTTTATTGCAAGCTGCACAAAACAAGCAAATCTCGTCCTGAGTGAATATTGACAAGGGTATCCGTTGTCCTTGAGAATAAGTGTAGTTTGGTCGAAAAATGGCCGCCCCCTCTCCTATCCCCCCACCCTA